ACTCTGTTAATATTCTGTTAATACTTTCACATGTATATTAAACAGGGATATTGGTCTGTAGTTTTCTTTCTTTGTTTCTTCTTTTTTATTTTTATTTATTTATGTATTTATTTTTGTATTGTTTTGTATTTTTTTATTGTTTTGGTATCAGGGTGACATTAGCTTCATAAAGGTATGGAAAATTACCCAATTTGTTTTTTTCTGCAAAAATTGTGTAGAATTTGTGTGTGTTCTTCTTAGAATATTTGGTTGAATTCTTCAATGAAACTGTCTACGCCTGAAGTTCTCTTTTCTGGGAGTAAATTGTTAATTCAATTTCCTCAGTAATCATAGGGCTGAACAAGTTATCTATTTATTTATTTATTTATTTATTTATTTATTTATTTTAATATTTATTTTTTTAGTTTTCTGCGGACACAACATCTTTGTTTGTATGTGGTGCTGAGGATGGAACCTGGGCCGCACGCATGCCAGGCGAGCGCGCTACCGCTTGAGCCACATCCCCAGCCCCAAGTTATCTATTTAATATTGCATGAGATATGGTAAGTTTGTATTTTTTTGAAGAATTTGTTCATATCATCCAAGTTGTGGAGGTTATGTGCATATAGATGTTTGTTGTTTTCTCTTATTATCCTTCTGATGTCTATAGGATCTGTATGATATGTCCTGTTTTGTTCATAAAATTACTTATTTGTTTTCCCTTTTTTTTCTCTTTGTCAGTCTTGCTAGAGGTTTATGAATTTCATTAACCTTTTCAAAGAAACAGGTTTTTTTTTCTGTCATTGACTATTGTTTTTCTGTTTTTAACTTTATTGATTTCTACTCTCATTTTTAGTATTTCCATTTCCTCCTTATACCTGCTTTAGGTTTAGTGTGCTATTTTTCTTTTTCTTTTCTTTCTTTCTTTTTTTAATTCTTGAAGTAAAAACATAAATTATCTATTTGAGCTTTAACCTATTTCTGAAGTATTCAGTCTTTAAATTTCACCGTCAGCACTGTTTTACCTGTGTTCCACAAATTTTGACCTGTTGCATATCCATTTTTATTAAGTGTGATGTATTTTTTAAAATTTCCCTTGTTACTACTTCCTCTTTGGTCCATGAATTATATTTATAAGTGTGTTTACTTGCCATGTATTTGGGAATTTTCCTGTTATTGTGCTATTGGTTTCTAGTTTTATTCTGTTGTAAACAGACAATTAACTTCATGTTTTTCATTTTTAAAAACTGTTGATATATTTTTTTATGGCACAAGAGATCATCTGTCTTAGTATATGTCTTGTGGCCATTCAAAAGAACATGCATTCTGCAATTGTTGACTGTGGTGTTCTGTCCTGGTATTGACACAAAGAAAAACTACTTCCTGGATTGCCGTGGAAATGATGGGAAGAAAAACTAACTCATGAAGTAAACCACGAAGAGCAGAGCATTCTTGAGTTCTGCTCCTCATTCTTTTATCATCAGCAGCAAGCAGCCCTATGTACCAGCAGGCAGGAACTCTATTATAATATGTTAATATTTTGTAACTAATAACTTCCCAGGACACTTAACTTCCTGGAATGTTCTGTTTGTTGAGCTCAGATAACTATTTTCTGTGTGCAACATTTACTGTGTGCAGCATATATTGTAATTCTCTGTTTGCAGAGCTCAGATAACTATTTTCTGTGTACAGTATATATTGTTTTTCCCTAATCACAACTTCCTTTAACCTAATGTAACCTTTTCCCTGTGTGCTACTTTCCACAAAATGTTCCCACATGATGGAGTCACTTCTGGCAAGCAATCTGCCTCACTGTGACTGCAACAGTATTATTTACTTGGTAGATGGTGTTTGCTGAGTTACATATCATACATATTCTTTCTGGTTGTTCTACCAGTTTTTGAGAGATGGGTATTGAAGTCTTCAACTATAACTGTGGATTTATCTCTTTATCTTTTAATTCTGTCAATTTTTGCTTCACATGTTTTGTAGCTCTGTTTTTTAGTATATATATGCTTGGATTGCTATGTCTTCTTGGCGGACTGACACTTTCATCATTCTATAATATTCTCTGTCTCTATAAATTTTAGTTTTTCTAACTAAAGCCTACTTTATCTAATGTTAATATATTTATTTTTTTCTGTTTGTAGATTAATGCTTGCATGTTTTCCATACTTTTATTTATTTTTCACCTTGCATGTTATTATATTTGAAGTGAGTTTCTTATAGACAGCATATAGGTGAATCATTTTTATAGTCCATAGTAAGATCTCTGTCTTTTAACTGACATATTTAGATCACTTACATGTACTGTAATTTTTTTATTTATTAGGGCATAAGTCTGTCTTTTTAAATATTTTGTGTGAATTAAATCTCAATTTAATTTTTAATCTTTATATGTTTATCTACATATTAAATACATTTGCCATTATACTAACATGTTATATATATATTAAAAACATTCACAGTAATTAAAATATAAGCTCAAAAAAATTAGTCCAAATATCTTGCCAGAGTATTATCCATTTTTTTTGTTTGATCTGATCTGTTTTCATTTCTCTGCCTTTATGTAACTAGCACTTTATTAAAATTTAGTTTTTATTTACCTATAGTGTTTTTTTTTAAAGAGAGAGAGAGAGAGAGAGAGAGAGAGAGAGAGAATTTTTTAATATTTATTTTTTATTTTTTGGCGGACACAACATCTTTGTTTGTATGTGGTGCTGAGGATCGAACCTGGGCCGCATGCATGCCAGGCGAGCGCGCTACCACTTGAGCCACATCCCCAGCCCAACCTATAGTGTTTTTGAGTGTATCTATTTGTATAATGAACTTATTTTGGAGTGTTTATTACATTATTACCATCTACTGGAATTGCCATTTTACCAGTTTGAATGAAGTAAAGAAATTATCTCTCCCTTCATCCTCTTGTGCTTCTAAAAGTATTAAATATTTTCTCTATAAATATTTGGAACAATATTACAATATTCAGACAGTATTATAATTTTGCTTCACTAATCAATCATAAATTATAAAATTCAAAAGAAAAAGGAAATTCTACAGTCTTTACCCATAGTTTGGTTTTCCATGTTCTTCCTTCTTTCCTAATGGTCCAAGATTCCTTCTTTAATTATTTTCTGTTTAGAGAATTTCAGGTCATTCTTTTAGGACTTCTGGCAACAAATTCTTTTGGTTTACTTCACTTGTTACTTTGTTTCCAGAAGACCTAAAATAGTTTATTCAGGTAAACTTTAGGATACTATACTTTATTAAAAGTGAGAGTTTTTCAAAACAGTTTTAGCTTAAACTAGAAAGATGATATGGAAATGAAGTAATCCAGAAGGCCCCAGCATGCCCAGGCACAGTCCTGGTATCATCAATACTTCTTAACCCCTTAACCTTCTTATCCCCTTTTCCCACCTCTTCTGTGCTCCCCAAATCCATGGCAAAATTCACAGAAAAAACATTTAGATGACTCCCTGCCAATCTTCCATCCCATCAAGAAATAATCATCCTTATAAACATGAAAGATGGCTGTGCAAGTCTTTCCATCATTTGGGGGCAGCAGTGCATACTAAAACACTAACTACTAACTAAGAGATCTGAATCACAGTCCCAGTTCTGCAATTTCCCAACTTTGTGACCTTAGATAAGGCATTGAATCATTCTGAGTTCCAGCTGCCTTTGCTGTTCTTCCTGAAAGGAAAGGGACCACAACACTTGGAGAGACCAAGAGATCTTTATTGTGGCAGTATCTGATTAACAGGGAAGGAAGAGAAAAGGGTGGGGGGGAGAAGAGAGAGAGAGAGAGAGAGCAAGAGACGGGGGCCTGGCAGGAGAGAGTTTTTATAACCAAAATCTAATGGGCTGTCTGGGCCTGCAAGCTGCCTTGTTGGCGTACAGTGATTGGATCATAAAGTAGTTGCTAAGAGGGTCATCTTCTGCCTTCAGGAAGACGGGGCGGGGGTCAGATATGAGTTTCTGTTTCACCATACAGGTTTAGCCTTGAGTGGGGTCAAGTGTTCAGCCTTGAGAGGGGTTAAGTGTTCAGACTTGAGGCAAACAAGCGATAAGGAACCAGACGGGTGAGGGTGAGAGTCAAGTGTTCAGACCACCCTGCAGACAACGTTAGTTCAGCCTGCCCTGCACCTAACACTTCCTGAACTATAATCTTCTCCACCCATGAGGTGTAGCAAATGCATGGATGTTGAAAGAATAGGTGACCTAAAATATTACCTTCTCTCTCTGATTTGGGGCAAGTTTCTCAAACATACATAACTCAAGATATCCCACCATTGTTATTTTTTGAGTCGCTAAGATGTGGCCCTTGTGATGATCTGGTTTCAGAGGTATTGAACAGAGTAGGTTAATAACCTCCAGCAAGCTTCTCATGGCTATCTTCTCCCTGTGTAAATGCTCATAATTGATCACTTAGCCACCATTCTAGAATCTTGGTGTAAATCTAATTGGTTTGTTTTTTATAAAAATCACCTTCAAAACTTGGAACAATTTTACCAATCTCTATCATTTAGGCCATTTGTTTATATGTTCTTAGTTTCTCCTCTTATGTGCTCTGCTCTCTTGCAAAGGGTTGGGATCGTACCATTAAACAAAAATGACAGGAGGCCCTTGTTTTCAACTAAACTCCTGTACGCGGCCCCAACCAAACCAAAATGGAGTCACTCGAGATAAACACCACATAATTAAAATGAAATTTTAAAGAAACAGATCCCCAAACAGAGCAGTTTTTCTTGGAAACAAGAGATTCCAGCCTATCTGTGTCAGCATAATTAGAAAGTCCCCTCGGCTTCAACCCTTACCAAAAAGTAACTTGGTGTTAACATATTGGGGTTTTCCCCATGTTGTTCTGTTTCTTTGCTCCCAGCTTATAAAACCAACTGTTCCACAAGTGTCCCGTGGGAACTTTTATTCTATTTATATAACAGAGGCAGCTTCCCAATTTATGAGTTGCTAATAAAAGCCACCAATTAAATCTACAAATTGGTTGTAGCTTTGTCTCTTACCATCTCGAACTGCTTTGTCCAGGTCACCTTGCTCCTTGGTTCCCCAAAGGATTAAAGCAAGAAGAGGCAAGAAGTGACTCCATCCCTCCCTTTCTTCCTGCCTATGGGTGTCAGTTTGGGGTGAAAGCAGCCACACCCATAGTGACCATGGTAATAATGGCAGCAGCAGCATGACGGAGGCTGTTAGTAACAGCAACGGTATTGGCAGTGGCTTGAGTGTGACAGAGGCTGTAGTGGCAGCCTTATTCACAGCACTGGCAGTGGGGATGGTGACTGCGTGCAGTGTGGTGAGCAGAGCCGGCCCCTGAGTTTCTGTTCCTGGTTCTGAGTCGGTTACACTAGTTCAGGGAGGAATCAGTTTCTTGTAGTTACCAATCTGTCACTAATCTTTTTTGTCTTGGTCCTCCAGCCTTTCCAACGCCCATGGAACCAATCTTTGTGTTACATTCTCTCTGCTTAAAATATCTAGAATGGTTTCTCTTTTCTTAAATAGACCCTGACTAATACTGTATATGTAACTTTTCAAATCTTAAATCTTTAATTTAAAGCAGCTCTAGAATCTTATTTTGAAACCAGGAGCTTTAAAAGTCTGGATACAACCAGCTGCTCATTTCATAGAATCGAACCAACAGAATGTAAGATCGAGAAGTGTTCTTGTCAAGCTGCAATAAACTTTTGAGATAGGATCTAAATTATTTAATGCATTGAAAACTGTTAGTGGTTTCTCGTTTGCAGGTTGATAATATATTAGTTGTTAAGATATTTCACTGTGACAATACTATGAGGAAATTTTGATCTACAAACAACTTTCTTCAGGGTATTTTTTAAATCTGAGGATTATACAAAACCACCTGATAAAAATAGACACACTAATTCTTGGGCTTTTAGTTTCAAAGTCTGTTTTCCCATCTGTTTTCCAAAGTCTAGGTCTACACAACCAAGCAAAATGGAGGATTGTGTAATTATCCTTTGACTCGGAGACAAATTGAATATCAGAGCAGAGAAGGGACATCTGTTCTGATCTGATTCAACACTGGTCAGAAATATGATTCCTTGGAAACATGCAGCCATAGAGTGTCTCTCTATGATCTGTGTGAATCCCCTCAGTTATGAGGAGTCATTACTTTTGCAGGCAGCCCATTCAATCACCAGAAATGTGTCCCTTTTATTCAGCCCAAGGAAAGCACTGCCACAACTTTAGCTTCTGCTTATAAATCTATCAAAAAATCCACTTAGATTTATACAGAGTAAATGGATTCCCTATTCAACATGAAAGCTCTTCAAACCATATAAGACAGCCATGGTATCTCTCTATGGGAATAAACCCAGCATCGAAGATGCAGACCCAATGACAAGGGGAAGTTCTCAGTGCCAGCAAAGCCTGACTATATGCTGCAGCTTACCTCTTCCCTGGAAATGATGAACATGGACATATCAGTTTTTCATTCATACATCTGTACAAGACCCTTCAGATGGCACAGCTCTACCCTTTCAAAGAGGCAAACTTGCACAAAGTGAGGTCATGAGATACACTGTCTCTAAGGACCCTCTCTTCTCCCCAGGAACAGGAGGACTCTGTAAAACCAAGAAAAACATACATTCATATATTCAAAATACTTGTTGCATATCACCATGCTAATGTGAATGGTGGTGGCAGAACACTATGGAAATCAAAGCAGAAATGACAAGAAATAAATTTTATGGGTTTTTGTTTTGTTTTGTTTTGTTTGTTTTGCCATGCTTGGGATCAAACCCAGGGCCTTGTGCATGCTAGGCAAGTGCTCTACCACTGAGCTACATCCCAAGCCTGTGTGCTGTATCTAGATGCTTAGATATTACCTACAGAAAAGAGGAGCCATTGCTTCATGCAATAAAAAGTGATTGCAATTGTATTATTAAAAGATTTCCTTCGTGGCAGGGTAGAGCATGAATTGGTAGGAGACAAAATTGATAGTAAGGCAACAGTCAGAGGAAATAATTTGGAAAATAATTATAAACAAATGAGTATTATGAAGTCTGTGGGGAAGCACAGGATGGGGGCAGAGTCACAAGGGTAGAATCAGCAGCATTTGGTAATGAAAGGAATATGGAGGGTAAAGGGAAAGCATGAAGTTTGTGGCTTGGGCAACTGGATGGATCATACAGTCATTCAAAAAAGAGAAGAACACAAGAAAAACAGCAGGTTTAAGTGTGTTTGTGAGGGGGTTGATGAGTTCCTTTTGGAGCATGTTAAATCTATGTGCTCCTAGGCCACACCAGCAGAGGCAACAAACAAGAAGTTGAATAAGTGAATCTGGCATTCAGAAGAGAGAAGGCAGAAAGTGTAGACTTGAAGTCATAACATGTGGTCAAGAGCTAAATCCATTTCATCATTCATTCATTCACTCACTCATTCATTCATTCAAGAATTCATTCACCTACCCAATAAGGGAATATGACCTACTTTGTGCCAGTAACATTATATGAATGGCTGAATATTTGTGCAGCAGTGACAAAGGTTTTGACATCATGGAACTCATTATAGGGGGAAGATATAATAAACCAAGAAATGTAATGCAATGCCAGGTCATATTAGAGCTCTTAAGCAATATAAAAGATAATAAAGGAACAGTGGGTAATAAATGGCCAGAAGATCTCTCTGAAAAGTTCACGTTTAAGTAGAAATCTAAAAGAGAGAGAAAAGTGCACCAGGTGCCCTTCTCTGTCTCTATAGAGGGACATAGAAGGGCAAGGGCCCTGGAGTGGAAGCATGTCAGACCTGTCTGCGGAACATGGAGAATCATCTAGAGAAAAATATACACATATGAATGAAGGAGAGCCAAGACCAAGGATAGAGTTATGAGTGAGCATCAACCTTCAAAGGGTGAGCAAAGAAAGGAGATGAAGAACTATAGGAGAAAGAGTGGCTAATTTGGTATTCCATGAATTTAACACCATTCTTTGATAGTTGTCTTCCCAAATCTCCATCACCCCTGGTTATAACTGTGTTTAAACACTCAGCAGTACCATAAACCCAAGAGCTCCTCTCTCCTTTGGCTACGAGGCCTTCCAGAAGTTTGGTATCTGCCTGCCTTGAAGCCTTTGTGTATTTTGTTGCCCCTTCTTCAAAGTTCTGGAGAGGGGTGGGGTAGGGACCACCAATTTGTCCTTCACCTTCAGGATCTGCAGCATGGCAACATCCTCAGGGAAGCTTACCTTGAGCCTGGAGACAGAGATAGTTCTTCATTCAGTTTTTCATTAAAACAATCTGTTCTTCCCTGTACCTAATCTAGTTGGAATTAAATATTTAATGTTTGTTCTCCTCCTGGACAATGAAATCAACCAGGGTCAAAAAGCATGTCTACGTCATTCACTGCATGTTTTAGTCAAGGTTCTCAGAGAAACAAGACCCATAGGAGATGGAAATATATATATGGAGAGAGAGAGAGAGAGAGAGAGAGAGAGAGAGAGAGAGAGAGAAAGCTAATTTGAGAAATTTTCTCATGCAATTATGGAGGCAGAGACATCCCACGATCTGCCATCTGCAAGCTGGAGACCCAGGACAGCCAATAGTGTTGTTCAGTCTGAGTCTAAAGGCCTGAGAACCAAGTCTGCGAAACATGGAGAATCATTTAGCTGATGGCCTAAGTGTCTGTCTGGGGACAGGAGAAGACGAGATATTCCAACTCAACATTCAGTCAGAAAAGGGAGACTGATTCTTCCATCCTTCACCTTCTGTACTACTCCAACCTTCAACAGATTGGATGACACCCATCCACATGGAAAAGGGCAATTTGTTTTACAAAATCTACTGATTCTAATCTCATCTGGAAACACCTGTACAGATACATCCAGAAATAATGTTTAGCCAAATATTTGAGCAGCCCTGGCCCAGTCAAGTTGACACATAAAATTAAATACCACATCTTATATCTCTAAAGCCTTTGCAGCACCTGATATGAAGAAGGTTCTCAATAAATGTCTTTCGAATAAGTGAATAAATGAGTGAAGTTATATTTTTTAACCTTATTTATTAATTAATTTATTTATTTTTGCATTACAATTCTTAATACATCTTTATACCACAATTTATCATATCTCTGATTATATATAAGGTATGTTGACATAAATTCACATCTTCATACATGTATTTTGTATAATGATGCGGGTGAGTGAAGTTTTATTATTTTCTGAGAAATCAGAAGAGTGACTACAGACTAGGTGACTGCAAAGTTGCTAAATGATGATTTTTGACCGCCCTTTATTAAAGTTCTGGAGAAGAGATGGGGCTGCGAACGCCAACTGGTCCTTTATCTTCAGGAGAAAGCAAGGTGATCACTCTTAGCATGCTAGCCTGTTGCCAGATTGTGCTAATTAAGTTTGATTGACAGTCACTCTCAGGGTAGACCCAGAAATACTCCATCTGTCTATATGTGGGAGATTCCTCTTCAGTCTCATTGATCTTTGCAGAAGAATCTCAAAATAAAAGGACTGTGAGTTCAGTTAGATCCAGTCTAGACAATATTTGAATCTTTTGCTTTGGTTCTAGTTCAGCACTTCTTTAGCAAAGTAAAAAAAAAAAGCAAGAAAAGGAGAAGGAAGTGGAAGTGAAGAAGGGAAAATTAAGTTAAATGGCTTATTAATGCTATAAATTTGTTTAATGTTTGTTCTGGTTGCTAATTTGTTTAAAAAATAAATTAAAAGGCAATGTTTTAGTTGTAATCATTGGACTCTCGTAATTTACCCTGATTTTTATACACTGATTTATTTATTTCAAATGACCACTTTGAAAAGTTCACAATGGTTTTCAAATTATGGATAGAGGAACTGAGTAATATATCTACAATAATACTCCTTATAAATACTGAGAAACACTGGTTTTCATTTAATTTTTTTTAATTTAAATGTCCTTGTCATTAGTCATAAAATTTACTAGGCCTTTTCAGATTTCATAAGTGTTATTAATTTCACATATTTTACCAGCGATATATGTTGCCTTGGGGTTTTGGCTTTGGCCACTACTTTATGCAGAATGGTGCTATTTACTAGCAGTTTGGCACACACTTTTTTTTCCCCCGTCAAGAATGGATATATCAATATTCAGGGAGCAGAAGTTTTGCAGATAGTGGCTATGATATTAATGGACAAGAAATATGCTGATAAAAGGTGTTCACCCAACAGCATTAGCTTTTGCATATAACCCATATATTTGCAAGAAGATTTTCTCAATGTAAGAATGTGCAGTTTATCTATTTATCAATGTTATACATGCATTGAAATGTGTTTTCAGAAGAAAGATTCTGGAAGTGATACAAACTAATGTTAATGGTATACTAGAATCATAGATGTTTTTAAATTTTCTTCTTTTTATTTAACTGTATTTTCTAATATTTCAAACAACAAAAACATATTACAAAATTATATTTACAAAAGAAGTAGAAGCTGCCGATAACAATGTAATTTTTCTTAGTTCTTAAAAGGTAGCAGCTGTAGAGAATAACCCAGATTCACCACTGTGTAGAATGTTGCATAGACAAAGAAGACTTTATGTATTTTTAACAAAGAAGATTTGATAAGTCAGATCTGTGGGAATTTATCAATTATTAAGACTATTACAATGGGGTTGAATTGTACTTCAGGACTGCTGGTTCTCATTTTGGTACTTCATCATTGAATCCCATCTCTGGTTTATTGGGAGGAACGGACAGGATATAACCATGACACCTAATTCTGACAATTGAAGAGCAGGAGAGTTGAACACCATCTGCCACACCCTAGTAAGAATGGCAGCAGCACAGACAATGACTGGGCAGGTGATTTTCTGGCATGGTGTCAATGATCTATGACAAGAAAAAAAAGGGGGTGGTGGTGGTAATTACAATGTTACTCCTAACAATAGAAGTAATTTAAAAGAGTAAAGAAACAAGTTGCATTGTGCTCTTCCAAGGGAAGGAGCCAAGGGGAAGATGGCCAGAACCTCACCCCCAGCTCTCCAGGATGGTGCTGACCCGTGGAAGCTGGATTCCTGCCAGCGTCTGAGTCATTTTCCTGGCTTTGCCTTCATAGAACTTACTTTTCCCGCCAATGTTAATGCAAAAACTGGCTCAGCTTCCAATTCACTCAATTCTTCAATTCATTCATCCATATACACTTACTTAGTCATTCGAAAAGTAACTTTTGAGCACCAACCATGTGGCAGACAATGTTCTAGGTGGTGGGGACACTGGAATGAACAAAAATGTCTGAGTCTTACTCTCATGAAGCCTACATTTGTGTGGAGGACGCAGAGAATAAGCAAATAAATACATAACAAGGCCAGGGAGTGAAAGTCAAGAAGAACTAAAAATAAATCAATAGAGGTATAGGTAACGAAAGTGATGCTTTAGATAAAGTTTCTAAGGTCTCTCTGAAAAAGGTGACATTTGAATGATCTGAAGAGTGAACCTTGTGGAAAACCATGAATTGCACATTCTAGGCAGAGGAAGCAACCAGGGCGAAGCCCCTGAGATGGAAACATGTGAGAGAGACTGCAAGGTGTGGTGCAGGGGACGTGCAGAGAGCATGGGGAAAAGGTGAGAAGGGGTTCAGAGCAATGGCCAGGGAGAGATCAGGGAGGACCTTGCACAGCATGGTAAGGACTCTCGATTTATGGTGTGATCAAAAAGGTCTTGAGGGTCTTGAGTAAGGCAGTAACTTAATCTGTCAAATGTTTGTAACAGAATCCATTTGGCTGCGGTTCAGAGAAGTGACTGGTTGAGGGAAGTGGGCAAGCCAGGACATACAGGAGCCTGTGACTGGCATGTGGGATCCAATGGCCTGTGCCAGATGGGGTTAAAGGTGAGAAGCTGCCTAATCCTGTATGCATTTGTGATAGAATGGATGTGGACAGTGAGAGACAGGAGCAGTCAAGAATGATTCCAAAGTTCTGGGTCTGAGCAACTGAATAAAAAGAGTGGTATTTTTACTGAGACAGGAGAAATTGGAGAGGAATAGATAGGGTAAGGAAAGTCCTGAAATTCCATTTGGGAGCTATTAAGTTTGAAATGCCTATGATACAGCAAAGTGGGTATGTCAGGCAGGCATTTGCATGTGAAACCTGGGGTTTAGGAGAGTTTGAGGCTGGGTATATAAATTTGGGAGTTGTCAATGTTAGAGGCATCCAGTAGAAATGTAAGTTACATGTATTTCCTAATAGCTATATTTTTTTAAAGTGGAAAAAATAGAAAAAGTTAATTTTAGTAATATTTTTATTTAACCCAAAACATCCAAAATCGTATTTTATCATGCAGTCAATGTAAAAATATCAATTAGCTATTTTATATCCTTTTCTAAAAAAGTGTAACTGATACATAAAAATTTGTTATAAATATATGTAGCGTCTTTATGGCACTAAAGGACAAGTTGAAATTATCAAACAAAAATTAAAATTGTCCCTATTGTAAATATATGTACCAAATGATGCTTTAATACACGCAGTCTTTGAACTCCAGTCTGTAGTTTCCATTCATAGCAAAACTCAATTCAAATGTGATAGCTACATGGAGCTAGTGGTTACTGTATGGACAGCACAAGTCTAAATGGTACAGAAAGCCAAGGGATTAAATATTGAAAGACAACATAGATAGAATCACGGGAGGCCCAAGGACTGAGCCCCTTGGGAACTCCAACATTTAACAGTCAGGTAAAGGAAGAGGAGGATCCCCAGTAGAAGAAAATAAGAATGTCAATGTTCTCCATCCTGCTTGGGGTGTGAGTTAATGGTATATGCATTTACTGAACTAATTGAATTGTGCACTTAAGATTTGTGTATTTTACTCTATTTAAATTATAACTTAATTTTTTAAAGTGCATTCAAAATATAGGAGAGGGAAAGAATGCCAAATGTAGAAAATAGTGAGAATGGTGAGGGGTTCCAAAAGCCATTGATCAACCACGTGAATCCTACAAAGTGGTCAAATGAGATAAGAACTGAGAATAGACCACAGAACAGGCAATGGGAAGGCCTCGCGTTACTGTGGCAAACGTAGATTTGGTAGAGGATGAAAACTTGCTTAGAATCTCATTCAAATAGGAATGAGGAAGCGTCTGGTTACAGATGGCTGATCTCACACATGCTTTTACTTCTGCTTCCTCTAAAACCTCACTAAATCTGAGACCAAAAAAGTATTTTTAATGACAGCACACATGCCCCTCCCCCTAACATGCACATGTAGAAGCTAGAGAGCAATACGGCAACATACCTGATTGAGAAGATCAGTGAGGCTCTTGGGAAGGACTAGAAGTGATCTGGATGGCACCACAGAGACATCAAAAGGCTCAGGATTTGTGATACGGGATCACCTGGGAGTAAGGGGTGAAGATGGGCCTGATGGACCTGAAAATTATCGGAAAACCAGTTCACCAACCAGGCCCTGCCATCTTTCACAGCTGGAAACTTGACCCTCCCCTCCAGGCATAAGATTGAGGGAAGATAAACCAGAAGGTCATTGGACTTTAAAAAAGCACTGTTGCTTTGGCCCCTATCCCTCTATGACGCCCATTTCCCTTTATAGCAAAACTGAGTGCTCTATATTTTGGCTGTCCTGCACAGCAGCCACTAGCCACATGTGGCTTATGGCTTTGTGATAGAGAGATGGACATTGCTATCACCATAGAAGACCCTGTTGGACAGCACTGATAGGAGCAGGATGCAGGGCAGAGGACACGGGCATGGTGCAATTAGTTTTGCAGATTTGGCAAAGGATACGACAGTTATGTCTGGCCATCAGACAGTTATGTCTGGTCTCAGTGGAATCAGAAGGATGTTCTTCAGCTGACAGTAAAAAAGGGTGGGAGATGTTACAGGTGTTAGAAGAAAGGAGATGATAGAAAATAATCTTCCCAGAAAGCAGAACTGAATTGATAAGAAAGATAAAGAAGAGAGTTTCTTCTTAGCCCAATTAAGAAATTAAGGATAATTGGAATTATCCATGTTTTACTTTATCATATTATTGCTGTTCTCAATATTACTAAAGATGCCATCCTTAAGCCTGGACAGTCTAGGTGGGGATGGAAGCATAAACCAATTCTCCAGTTACTCCTCTTGCCCGATAATAATTTAAACCCAGAGCATGCTGAAGAGAAATCTCACTGCTATGCTGTAACCACAGCCAGTGCAGCAGGAAGGAAGGGGCCAGCCCTTCCTGGAGAGGTTTTGCAGTGATAAGGTATGAGAACTGTCTCAGTCGAGGTTCTTTTGATTTAAAGAAACAGAAACCCATTCAATCATACTTAAATAATAAAAGGAGATAGACTGCCATGACGCTTGGGAGTCTCCTGATGCCCACAGGAAAGCAGCTGGTGCTCAAGGAGATTCGACCAAGGGGAGCCCGAGAGACTAGAAAGCTTGCAGGACACAGGCAGAAACACACTTCTCTCTTTCTTTTCATCTTCTCCCTTTAAACATGATTGTTCCTCTCTTGTTCTCCACAAGATGCATTTTTTTCTGTTCTCTACAGAGAAGACCAGCTTTCTCTATAGAATTCTCGGCACACTTGTTGGGTGAGGATGACCCTCCCCATGATGTCCTTAGTTCTGATGACTCAGAACAAGGCAACATCTCAGCCTCCATCTCGAGTTTCTCAGAGAATCTGATCAGTCAGATTTCGGACATCTGCCCCACACTGGCTCAAACCACTCCAATGGAGGTTGGGCCTGGAGCATATCTTGAGTTCTGGGACTGTCCCCCCAGGCATGGGGCACTTCTCAGAGCTTTTTGGCTCTGCTCTCTGGAGAGTCCTTCCTCTCCGTTGCCTTACTTGGTCTCACCTGAGTACTGAGCTACACAGCTTTCCCAGCCTGTGTCCTGCCCTGAATTAGAGCTGGTGCCTTGGGATTTTTCAACTGGGCTCTTGGTTTCTTTGCACTGCTCACAACTCTTGAAACCATTAGGCCCCTCTGTCTGCTTCCAGATATTTCTATGAGCAACCAACCATGTTTAGAGTTCTCCTTGAGGGATGATTGTATTTCTCAATGTGCTTTGTCCCTTTGTTTGCTTGTCACTGAAACAACTTCTTTTTCTTCTTCCCCTCTGTTGGGTGTGTGGGAGACTCCCCGCTGAAATTAAGTTTCTGTCTTGTGAGAACATCACGGGTAATCCCTTACACCTCCCCCTCCTCTCCAAAGGGCTCCAGATTCAAAAGTTTTCTCGACCAATCCCCACGGAACACAGTGTCCTGAGTCACCCTGCCAATCAGCACCTGCTATGTGGCCTATGCAACCCTTCTTAAACCGAAGCTTGCAAGCTCACTCTTTCTGCCCTCCTCCTCTCCTCTCTCTGCTCTCTGCCTCTGCTTTTCTTCCCCCTTGGGCAGCCCCCCAATAAAATCCCTTGGTTGAATCTCTGTCTCGGGTGAGTCACTCGCCTTTCACCCTCTTTCTTCTTTTGTCCTCCTCCTCCTCTTGTTTTTTTCTTCTTCTCCCCATTCCCCAACCTTTTGTCAGATACAGCCAGTAGCAACCACATAGGTCAGCACTCAGGTTTTGATTTCTGACATCTTCCCCTGAAACACCAGTTCAATAGGTACAGGTGTCATGGAAAAGCAGGGACAGAGGTCAGCCCAAACTCTGACCTCTGTTCTTGTGTTCTGATGAAAGGAAATTCAAAGTCAGACACCAAAAGCCATGCAAGAGAACTGTATTATAGGTGAAACAAAGTAAAAGCAAAGTGAAGCTTAAGCAGACAGCACGAGAGAGAGAGAGAGAGAGAGAGAGAGAGAGAGAGAGAGAGAGCTGTCCCCAGCAGACAATGACAAAGGAGACAAGGCTATCTCCAAGTTTATTACTGTTTGATGTCTACCAGGAGAACTGGTGACCATTTTCTGTACTCTTTGCCAATTAGGTGTTCAACTCCTCCTTCACTTCAGGAAGTGGAGTTTTTTGTTTGTTTGTTTTGCTGGTTGTAGATGGACACAATGTCTTTACTTTTTTCATTTATTTATTTTTATGTGGTGGCTGAGGATTGAACCCAGGACCTCATGCATGTGAGACAAGCACTCTACAACTGAGCTACAACCCCAGCCCCATGGAAGTGGAGTTTTTTTTTATCTTAGTTGGTCCTCTCTGCAACTATCATGGTGGCCATTCTATTTAGGGGGGCGGGGCTTCATCTACAAATCAATTCTGTGGTAATGTAGGCACTGGGGTCAATAGCTGGTCAGAAGTTACCTTAGTGCGCCCGTGCTATTAAAGGAATTTTCTTTCCCAGACTATTGGAGACACTTACTGCCATAATTCCTAGCTTTACATCAATATCAAGGGACCCTGTCAAGAGTTAGTCCCATTAATCCTTTTCCCTTGATGTGATTTCCAACTAGCTCCCTTGCTTCTGTTTATTTTCTACAAATTAGCTACCACCCTTTGATTTCTTGTCTACTTTGGAAGTTGTTTCAAGAAGACCCTAAAGTATTTTAAAGAATGCTTGTGACCTTGCCTGCATTTCACTGCTCATTGCTACCTACTACTTCACACAAGGTCTGCCTTTGAGGTCATCTCAATCAAACCTTTTGTTTTCTGTTTTTATCCCAGCTCGGTTTCCATGTTGCCATCACCTGACTGTTAAGTCAATATTTTAATTTTTTTCTCTGCAGCTTCCCAGGAAAGTTTTTTTGTAATTTTTTTAACATTACAATAATGACTTAACTGGACACTCAGTGGCCTGAACACAATAAAGATATTTTCAAAATCACAGCTGCTCTGATGTGATCCAAGTGGGTCTCCAGGGCAGCTGACCTATGACGAAGGGGTTCAGCTATTGAGGAAATATCTGTTTTCAGCTCTGTCATCTCAACTCATGACCTCAGCAACCCAATGACAAGGGAAGATTTAAACACGCTCTTTTAAGCTTTGATCCTGAAAGTGATATATCACTGCTGCTCCAGATCATTTGGTCAGAATAGTCTTACTTATGGCCCACCTGACTACAAGGGGGCTAGAAATTCCAGGGAGCTCATAGGTAATTGTTAAGCAGTCACAATCTCTTCCACTGTTCCCAGAGGCCTCTGTTGATCATGCAGAGCTATAAGATCAAAATAGTCTGCCCAGGGCAGCCCCCACCACATTAGAATTGGCACAAAATTATGTTGAGTTAAACTGTGAGATCTGGGGACTTCATTATTCTTGCAGAATTGTCCACCCCATCCTGATTGATACAGGAACATAAAAGAACAGGAGAAAGTAAGATAATATTACCTTCCCCAGAAGCAATTGTAATTCTCATCCAAATACTAGACAGTTTGTAGGATTTTGGGGGGACTTTGACAAAATGATATAAAGCTCATATGCAATAATAGAGGTGTGAGAATAGCCAACACAACTATAAACAGGGAAACAAGACAGAACTAGTTTTACTCAATATTAAGATATTTTACCTGAGTGCAGTGGCGCACATCTGTAATCTTGTGGCTCAGAAGGCTGAGGCAGGAGGATCGCAAGTTCAAAGCCAGCTTCAGAAATTTAGCAAGGCCCTAAGCAACTTAGTGAGACCCTGTCTCAAATAAAGAATAAAAAGGGCTGGGATGTGGCTCTTTTTAATAATTAAGTACCCCTGGGTTCAATCTCTGGTACCACCCCCCCCAAAAATATATTTTAAAGATAGAGAAATAATAAGAAATACAGATTTACATTACAGAGAAATTATAGGAAATATAAAGTTATAAAGTCATTAGTGGAGAACTAAGAGCCCAGAAATAGACTCAAATATATTTGAGAATTTAAAAAATAAATAAAGTGGTATTTTAAGTCACTTGAAGAATGTGAATAATTCAAAAATGCTGTCGTGACAAGCAAGTCAGGGGAGTAGAGAAGTGTTGAAGTGCTTTACTTCTTATACCGAAATAAATTCTAGGTGGACCAATAACTTAAATGTGAAACAATCCTAGACACCAAAACAATCCTAGAAAAACCATTGGTAATTTTTTTTTCATAATTTTGAACTGGGGAAGGTCAGGAGATATATGAGACAAGAATGACCAATTTACTCACATAAAAGTTAAAACTTTTGCAAGACAATACTATAAACAACATCAAGAAATAAACCGCAAGATAGAAAAAAATGTTTGTGATTTATATAACAGGAAAGAGAATAAATTGGGATTGTTTTTGGACACACAAAAAGATCTAAAAATCAACAACAGAAAAGTGAATAATTCTATGAAAAATAGGTAAAAGGTAGATAGTTTGCAGGGGGAAAGAAAAGCAAAAAGCCAATAAATATAGAAAAAAAAAGTTTCAGGTTTTTAGATAATTTAAAAAGTGTAAGTTAAAACAAGATACTATTTTTCATTTAGTATATTTGCAGAAATAAAATTTGATTGTACTCAAGAGTACGGGAAACAGGAACTCTCATGTACCATTAATGAAATGTAAATTGGTATAACCTCTTTGGAAAACAATTTGACAATAGCTATTAAAATTTAAAAAGCACATTTGCTTTAATTCAGCAACTCCCCTACTAGGAATTTTCCCCATAGAAACACCTGTGCAAGGAGCTAAATATATACTGTATAGAGATAGCATGATTCTATTGTTCGTAATAGTAACAAGCTAGAGGAAGCTTAAATGCCCATTAAGAAATGATTAAATAAACAACAGTGGCTCTACAAAATGGAATACTATATAGCCATTCAGAAGAGACTGTTTTGAGTTTAAAAAAATATATAGAATACAGTATCATTATAAGGGAGTATTCCAAAGATTTTATTTTATACACATATTTATATAATATATGTGTACTTGTACATATTTTCTGGGAAAAAAATAATGGTTATGATTATGCTCAACTATAATTATATATGGATGCATAAGAAGACAGCTTTTACATCTCATGTTATACTCATTTGTGTTGTTAGAATTTTTTTAAAATGTCGTTGTATTTTTTGGTACCTTTATTTTATTCATTTATTTTCATGTGATGCTGATTATTGAACCCAGAGCTTCACACATGGTAAGCAAGCACTCTATCACTGAGCCACAAACCCAGCCTGTAAAATTTTTTAAACAAGCGCATGTATTACTTTCTCAAGGAAGAATTTAAACCATTAAT